ACCGATGCAATTCACGCGCTATCATAACACCTGAACTTCCGGAATGAGAGTTATCTCCCCTACGTCAAAACCCTTAATGCTCTCAAAGCACCCACCCCTAATCCTATTGATGATTAGATACGATTGGCATTCTGGTGACACCTCCTTGGCAGGATTTGTTCGAAATGATAGTTCCACAGTCTACTGATAAAATGGGAATTGGTATAAGGTTAAATGCATGGCTGCCTGTTTTGAGTTATCTCGGATACAATGACCGTGTTTGAGTCCGTAAAGTGAGTGAGTGAGTATGGTTTTACGCCGCTTTTAGCAATATTCCAGCAATATCACGGCGGGGGACACCAGAAATGGGCTTCACACATTGTACCCATGTCGGGATTCGAACCAGGGTCTTCTGCGTGACGAGCGAACGCTTTAACCACTAGGCTACCCGACCGCCCCTGAGTCCGTAGAGACCTTGGAGTTAAGACCCTGACATACATCCCTTGTTTAACTGTGCAACACTTGTGTGATGACTGGACCAAGTTAGGGCATTGAGCTGGAGTAACATCGTGATCCAGATATTCCTATCTGTAACTATATCAGCCTTGGGATGGGCACTTTACACAAGGTTTGTAAGAAACCTGTACACTGTTAAACCATTTTAAACCTGCAACATATTTAATCTCAATTGTGCACACATTGTAATTAAAATAAAGTCGACGATGATTAGGTGAGGGTGATATGGAGTTTAACGTCGCGTGCACGATTATTGAACTTCTATAGCGATGTGCATGCACGTGTGTGTGCGTGTGTGTGTATGTGTGTGTGTGTGTATGTGTGTGTGCTTGTGCGTGCGTGCGTGCGTGTGCGTGCGTGTGTGTGTGTGTGTGTGTGTGTGTGTGTGGCTGCTTGTACTAGTCCGGACTGATGCCGATTTATAGTGCTAGCACACTGAGATACCATGCCGCAGTTTAACATGAATACCCCACTCAGACACAGTATACTGACTCCGAGCCGCCAAGTCCATGGATTTATATGACATCTGCCAACACGGGTATTATTCATTTTTAGCCATCTATGTTTATTATGTGATGAGTCAATTAGAAATTAATATACATGCTATACTATGCACCCATAACATGTGTTCTAGGGGTTTATGGCCTATCAAGTGTGTGCCTCTCAAAAGTCTATCAGTGATCTAATATAAATATGACATCTTGTAACAACTCATTTAGACTATTCAAGATTTTAATATGCAAAACATAATACATTTTTGTGTCAAGAAAATTTGAAAATATTGGAAATCTGCTATTTGACTGTCCCGAATTCCGATTTCTCTGAAAGCTGGTAATTGATGAAGTATTCTTGGGTTTCAGTCTGTGTACTTTAGTAGATTAGCTAAAGGCGTCACATGTAATGTTCTAATGAACATTTTCCACTTGGAACACCACCGATGCCAAACATGTTGGGTATGGGAACCCCTCCTACTACAGCTTTGAAGAGCCACCTGATAAACATTTAACATCCAAAACTGGTTCCACAGGAAATATCGCTTGGGTGAAATAAATCCATATTGCCAAGGAGATATCGCTACAAAAAAAACTACAAGAGTACTTTACAGACCATTGTGAAGTCAAGGTACCGTCACGCCACAATTAAATGACGTCACTTATCTCCTCTGACGTACTAATGAATATGAAACAAATGAAAATAAAGAAATAATGACCACTGAAGTTACCATATTGTGAGCTGTCTTGTGTGACAGCGATACAGCCACCATGTACAAATGCTCCAGTCTCCAGTCTCATCATCCTTACGCACTGTCCAGTGCCCTGAGTGGGTATGTAAGACCACGTCTTTCAAAGTGTATTTATTTCTTCCACGTTTTTAATAGTAGTATATGTGTTATTTTAATGTTTGGCTAAATTTGTCAGCCATCGCCAACAACTGAAGGGATGATGTAAATCCGACTGGGGTCCATGCAGGTAGCAAAAGTACTGTAAGTCCCCATGGTCCCCAGCGCGGTGATCAACCTTCAGTTGGTGGCGATCTATTTAATTTACCCCGTTTTTATAATGTGTTGTTGAATGATTAGTTAGTTATCTATTTGTACATGTTCTCAAACTAGTTTTACGAAATTCGGTGATATTCTAGTTATTATACTGCTCTTCGTCGGCAGAATTTTATATAGTTTAATATATATTGTAAATGTCAAATAAAATTCGTCACGATATGGCTGAAATATTGCCGATGTGACGTTAAACTTAAACTCACTCACTGTCAAATGACAATACATCCTATTAAGTCTGTCCCCGTCTAAGTATATGGGTCATGTGTCTCGATGGCAGACAAGGGGCTTTCTGCCTTGGGTATCATAGCATAGAATCGCTCCAGTATATGACCAGATTAGGCAACTAGCTTAACAGTGTTCAGCCAAACAACAGCCATGTGTTACGTTATACAGGCTGGTTATGGAAACATGGGTTGCCTTACTTTATTATCCCAACACGAAAGTCCAGACAACTGCTCTTTATGATAACACACCATGGTTCCGTTGTGGTTTAATCTCACATACTCATCTATCATGGTGTCAGTGTGATTGAACACATATATTTCAATCACGACAATCATTTGTTGGAGATTCATCGGTTTTTCATGCCTCCAGCTTCCACTCAAAATGCCAGGTCTTGCGGAAGGCCCCGGAGAAGTGTTCGCGACAATACGGAATGAATATACTTTTTATTATTATCATTATTTGAAATTATTATTCAACAGCTTAGGGCTCCCTCTCCATGCAGGGACCGTGGTGGCACGTGGCCCTGTGCATAGCGCACAGATCACAAATCAGGTGAAGTTAAGCAACGTCGGTCTCGGAGAGTAGTTGGATGGGTGACCACGTTAAGCAGCTTGACTCCTGAGAGTTTCTAGGGCTTCGGTCCTGCCCCACACAGAAGCACATGTACCACATGTGGTGTCTCCTTAGGCAAGTGACTTTGTTCAAAATGTGCCTCTGTTCACCCTGCAGTGAGTGGGTACCCGGTAGCTTGAGATGGTAATGTGGCTGGTAACCTTCTAGCCTCACGGGCAGCTTGGGTGGTATACTCCCCAGGGAGCTGAGAATGAAAAATTAGTGCTCACTGATCCATTGACCGGGTTAATAATAGTGTAGCACTATGAGCATCCACTTGGTGAATGGAATCTGGCGCATTACAAATGCACTTATTATTATTATCATCATGGCGATTCTATTCACACTTACTGGACAGGCTAAATACGATTAAATGTATGACTATATAATTTGAAAATTTGTCAGAAGGGTCATCTGGACATGATTCTGAAACATGACCATAATGTTTGCGATAACAAGCTGAATTTTGCGTTATCATCTAGGCTTGGCAGCGCACTAAGTCTTGTAGAGAAGAAAGGGTCACACGCCTTGATGTTCTACACCTGCCTCTATGCCAAGTGTCTCAGAACATATGGCTGTAGACATATTCTCATCTTATGGAATATCTCAAATTTCATGAAAACTATGGTCAGCTCATGAAAGATGTTGAACATGTAATTTTAGTGAAGCTTTAGCTGGCTCGGGGACACGGGTGGCCCAGTCGTCTAAAGCGCTGCGATTCGCTGTGCAGAGTTGCGTCCCCTGGGCACGCCAAAAACCTATGATTGTGGGCTCGAATTCCGGTTAGCCCCGATTATGTTTCTAGGTTTGTCAGCTCGTGGGTTTCACCGAAGTGGTAAACGTCTGAGACCTGCATCACTTCGGGCTTTCCCCCCACATTAAGCTGGCACGCCTTGATATAGCTGGAATACTGTTAAAAGCGGCGTTAAATCCAACTCACTCACTAACTCACTCATTAGCTGGTTGAGAGACTGTATATGAAGACATTATATGCCATAGAAATAGTCCAGTGCATAGAAGCCACACCAGTGGGGACCGGGTAAGGTATCACATAGCGAGTACAGGCAACACCAGTGGTGATCCCGGGTCAGGTATCACATAGCGAGTACAGGCAACACCAGTGGTGATCCCGGGTCAGGTATCACATAGCGAGTACAGGCAACACCAGTGATGATCCCGGGTCAGGTATCACATAGCGTGTACAGGCAACACCAGTGGTGATCCCGGGTCAGGTATCACATAGCGAGTACAGGCAACACCAGTGGTGATCCCGGGTCAGGTATCACATAGCGAGTACAGGCAACACCAGTGGTGATCCCGGGTAAGGTATCACATAGCGAGTACAGGCAACACCAGTGATGATCCCGGGTCAGGTATCACATAGCGAGTACAGGCAACACCAGTGATGATCCCGGTATCACATAGCGAGTACAGGCAACACCAGTGGTGATCCCGGGTCAGGTATCACATAGCGAGTACAGGCAACACCAGTGGTGATCCCGGGTCAGGTATCACATAGCGAGTACAGGCAACACCAGTGGTGATCCCGGGTCAGGTATCCCATAGCGAGTACAGGCAACACCAGTGGTGATCCCGGGTCAGGTATCACATAGCGTGTACAGGCAACACCAGTGGTGATCCCGGGTAAGGTATCACATAGCGAGTACAGGCAACACCAGTGGTGATCCCGGGTCAGGTATCACATAGCGAGTACAGGCTACACCAGTGGTGATCCCGGGTCAGGTATCACATAGCGAGTACAGGCTACACCAGTGGTGATCCCGGGTCAGGTATCACATAGCGAGTACAGGCAACACCAGTGGTGATCCCGGGTCAGGTATCACATAGCGAGTACAGGCTACACCAGTGGTGATCCCGGGTCAGGTATCACATAGCGAGTACAGGCTACACCAGTGGTGATCCCGGGTCAGGTATCACATAGCGAGTACAGGCAACACCAGTGATGATCCCGGGTCAGGTATCACATAGCGAGTACAGACAACACCAGTGAGGATCCCAGGTCAGGTATCACATAGCGAGTCTCGGAACCAACATTATACCATACACGATGCGTAGCAAGTAGTCACACTAAAATGAAAAACAAGAAAGGTTCGATCGTGTATATTTTTAATATTTTCCTAATATTTTCTTTCCTATAATTTGAAACTGCCTCTGTTCCACGTTAGATCCGACAGACGTCCGCTGATTGGGCTGCTGGCCCCCCACATAGATGTTCATCGCACCTACAAAAGATTATATATTGGAGGACGTGTGTGACACAGGTAATTGCCCTCCATCAAATGATGAATGACAGGACAAGTGAGTTCCTCTGTGATGTACACATTGTGTGATATATTCGCTCTAAAAACGATCAGTTTCCAACCTTTATTAATATGACGTAATAGAATCATAAACATCCTGCTCACGTGGTAAGAATCATATTTACCTGGAAGAATTACCCATCCGTCGTTATCGGTCCACACGGCCATGTTTCTGGGGTCAAGTGTGAACTCATAAGCCGCCGACCCTCCAGACACGATGGTTGTCCTTGTGAAACCTACCAGCTGAATTCTGGGTACAGGAAGTGACGTATTTTGCCAAGACATATAAGCCTGGGAGACCTGATAAATATATATAAATAAATAAGATCCATTATAACTGGTTCATGAAATATTAATCATCGAAATATTTTTAAATACTTAGGCGCTAAAAGGTGCCGTGCAGAGTGGCGTCCCTTGGGCACGCCAGAAACCTATGATTGTTGGTTCGAATTTCGGATCGCCCCGATAATGTTTCTAGGTTTGTCAACACCATACCAGTGCTCGTTTCACCAAAGCGGTAAACGTCTAAGACCTGTATCACTTCAGGCTTTCCTCCCACATCAAGCTGACACGCCGTGATATAACTGTAATACTGTGATAGGCGGCGTTAAACCCAACTCACTCACTCACTCTTAACACTTAATGAACAAACAGGACAACAATAAAGACGTGTCTCATATTAAGACATTACCAGAAGATGACCAAGATCCAGGTCTTGGCAACGACATATCCTATGTGTAAAGTACCGCCTGACATTCCTGCCAATCCTGAACGAAATGAGAGTACGGATCACACGCTGGGGAATGTTTGCCAAGTCGACCTGTAGTGCATGCGTAAGATGTTGTATCGACGCTGTTTTGCGCAGCGATTCTAACTCACTGTTCATGTCGTGTGGCAAGATGAAGCTAGCATGGTTCATACTGGGAACAACGTTCAGCTGATATCATTGTGCAGTTAAGTTGCTTTGCACTTTTTGCCAGGTTTTGTCAACCATTATGTGAGATTACCGCGCAAATCATTACGCTGCCAATGCCCAATTCGTTGAGCTCTCGTTCATCGCCACGTGGTTATTCCCTAGCTTCTCCTTGCAGAATAAATCTTAACTCATCCCCGCACAAGGCTTTATGACATAGCCTTATCTATGTATATTCTGTGTGCACTGACCTCATCAGCGTCATATGACCCTGTGTTGTAGACAGTCAACTAATCTTTGTGTATACTCTACGTAAACTGACCTCATCAGCGTCATATGGGCCGTGTTGTAGACAGTCAACTAATCTTTGTGTATAGTCTACGTAAACTGACCTCATCAGCGTCATATGGCCCGGTGTTGTAGAGAGCCACGTAATCTTTGTGTATACTCTACGTAAACTGACCTCATCAGCGTCATATGGCCCGGTGTTGTAGACAGTGACGCTACACCACAGCCCCTCCCCGGCCATGACGGTGATGTCGCAGGTAAAGTCAGCATATCTGAACGTCGTGTACGACAGGCCGTAGCCGTAGGGGAAGGCAGGCTCTCCATCAAAGTACCAGTATGTCCGCCCAGCCATAGAGTAGTTGGCCATGGGCGGAATCTGCAAAACAATAAAAAATAAAATTATTTTTTTTTTATCTGCAAAACAATATGAGTTCGTAAAATGATTCTTCCGTCCACAGATATTGTGTCATGCACCATGATCACTCCTTAGCCACATGTTGAATTATATAACATGTTCACCTGAGAATCACTGCTGGGCCACGTGTAAGGCAGTCTAGCGGCGGGCACTGACCCCGCCCCGGTGTTGGTGAGCGAAGCAAAGAGGGCGTCACCCGCAGCTTGAGCCGGAAGGAAACATTCCAAGATTGCGACCACTCCTGGCGCCGTCATCGCCCATTCAATGTTAACTGGTCCGCCAGTAAATAACAGTAGCACCACTGGTTTGGCGGCTGTTGAAGATACATATGTACACCTGTATACGTTGAGGCATTGTTCCGGAATTCAAGGTAAACGCAATTGAATAGGATCGGATTTCTTGACAACACCGTTCATGCCTAGGTGATAGAACTACATCTACACGTCTTGTATTGAGCTGAAGTATTTATACCACACACACATGTACGATTACTTGATGGTTCTCATGTAAGACTTTATGATGATCACATTAAATGAACAGGTAGTCAGGAATGTGTTAGTGAGTTTGGTTAGATTCCCTACACCCTAGGACCGCCTCCGTGGTCTAGTGGTAGAGCGTCCGCCCGGAGAGCGGAAGGTCCGGGGTTCGATCCCCGGCCACGTCATACCAAAAGACGTTAAAAGATGGTACTTGTTGTTACCCTGTCTGGCGCTCGGCATTAAGGGGCTAAAACAAGGACTGGTCGGCGCGGAGTCAGTATACTGTGTCTGAGTGGGGTATTCATGTTAAACTGCGGCATGGTATCTGAGTGAGCTAGCACTATAAATCGGCATCAGTCCGGACTAGTACAAGCAGCCACACAAAGACACACACGTACACGTCGCTATATAAGTGCAATAATCTTGAACCCCATTTCACCTCACCTCACCTCACTCACACCCAAGCACTCGCTATCTCATATAGTAGTGTAAATGAAATGAATCTTCAGTGTATGATGTTGGTGATGTAGATGGTGTAGATGATGTAGATGATGTAGATGATGTAGACGATGTCTCACTGTTGCTGACGACGTCTTGAAGAAGCTGCAGTTGCTGTCCCGGCAGAGAGATGTTGTGTCTGTCCTTTCCCTCCGCCTCAATGGCCTGGCCTATACCGGATACAGAGAACTGATTATTTATTTGGCTCATTTTTATCAGTTTAGAGTGAGTGAGTGAGTGAATATCTACATTGGGACTCCAACATCGGGTTTCAAACTCTGTACTCCTACAGGTAATGAAACCCAGGTCTGCCAACACGAGGAGTGAACACTTTGACCACTCGGCTATCCAGCAGCATCATTTATGAAGCGGCTTCACGATAACGAAGACCCGTTGATCTCTCTGGTCAAGAATGGTACCCGTCTCAATTCAGCCTAAGATAGCAATAAGCTGACTAAGGTCTCGTAAGCAAACAGGCATCATGTTGCACTCAGTAACGTAAAGGAGATCCTACCTGTTCCCAAGCATACAAAGACGGCATCGGCGCCTTGCAGCGCATTCACAACGTCACTCCTCCTGTAGTCGTTGCACGCAGTGCTGGAGCAGCCTGCTGCGTACATGGCAGCATTGCCCAGTCTCAGCAGCCCACTCAGGGGGGACGTGATGAACCGGGGGTCAGTCTGTGGCGAGTAGTCACCAAACAGTTGTTCTGTGTCATTTGACATCGGCCCTACAACCTGTAATTAAACCCCAATAACATTAACATTAAATCAATAGACGGTACATTTGGTCTTTGTTATCTGGGTCCGGGCGGTCCGGTGATACACCTTTACTCAATTCTGCATCTTACTGAGGCAAGGGAATTAACTGTAAAAGTACAGTTTCCACCCTTGCCGAATTTGGCAGGAATTTCTTGGCTCGGTCGTAGCGCCACCAGAGTTATGTCCCTTCTATGTCACTCATATTGACCAATCAGATTCCACCTCTCATATCACTTACATTTGCTTCAAACAAAATGGCGGCGCCAAGTCAAGACGATCTGATCGATAATCTTTAATGTATATTGCAATTAAATGGGTCTTACGTCGCGAAGTGCATCAAATCACGTGAGCAACTTGATTAAAAACATGAACTGATTGTGAAATTTATTGTTGGCGGTACACATGCTTTGCAAATCCAGCAAGCGACCGAATTCTATATGGCAGTTTACGAACCGGATGTCGACTCGTTAGTCCAGCCAAAAAAATAACTCAATATTGAGAGGCTAGTTTTGCAAGGGTGGAAACTGAACTTTTACAGTCAGTTAACTCCCTTGACTCGGGAAGATGCAATTATGCGGTTCCGATCTTAGTTAAACCAGATTACAATCCTTGGCGTGCCAGTGACAAAGGTGATCAGTTCTGCATTAATTCTATCTGCAGAAAAAAATTGTGAATGTAAATAAATCGCGGAAAAAGTTTCCTAGTAAAACCTTTTCCATGGGAAAATAGCCTGGAGTAAAATAGACCCAAAAAGGAAAGAATTCAATACAGGAGCAGATACTCTTTGACATCAGCACCATGCCCACCCCCTTGGATTTCATCAAAAGAATACTCAGTTTGACCTCTGCGATTCCATCATTGCACTGAAGGACTAAAAAACCAAACTCACCCACTCTAATCTCTGTCTCTGCCCACGGGACCGCCTCCGTGATCTAATGGTAGCGCGTCCGCCCGGAGAGCGTAAGGTCCTGGGTTCGATCCCCAGTCGCGTCATACCAAAATACCTTGAAAGATGGTATTTGTTTTTACCCTGTCTGGCGCTCGACATTAAGGGGCTAAAACAAGGACTGGTCGGCTCGGAGTCAGTTTACTGTGTCTGAGTGGGGTATTCATGTTAAACTGCGGCATGGTATCTCAGTGTGCTAGCACTATAAATCGGCATCAGTCCGGACTAGTACAAGCAGCCACACACACACACATACACGTGCATGCACGTCGCTATATAAGTGCAATAATCTTGGACGCGACGTTAAACCCCATTTCACCTTTGCCTACGGATGTTTTCATTATTCAAGCCGATGCAGGACATGATTGTCCTCCTATAATGTGAGTTCTTTAAAGGATCAATATTTCATAAACCATAGCCTTTTACTTACAGCGACTTTATCAAAATGTGATTTGATCGGTAAATAGCTGTTGATATTTTTCAGCAGGACGAAACTCTTGATGGCTGCCTCTACAGCAAGCTGTCGGTGTGTGGAGCTCAGCACGACGTCATCAATGTCAAGGTAGTTGTAAGGGTTCATTTCCGGGGGGTCAAACTCCCCAAGCCTCAGTCTCGTGTAGAACAGGGGTTTGATCTGGTCCCGGACAAACGACTCTGTCAGCTTGTTCTGTTGTATCGCAGGAACTGAAAAGTAGATGATGATATTATCCGAAATGTTGCACAGATGGTTTCAGCGAATGTTTTTAAACGGAAAGAGGGTAAAACGTTAAAGGAATAAGCTTACAAGAGCAAAAGAGCACTGTGGAAAAACAGAAGAACCAAAATGAGCGAGAAAAGAAAGACAAGGAGGAAGAAAAAAAAACGAGAAAGAGGAAGACGAGGAAAATGTAGATAAAGAGGGAGAAGATACAGAAGAGGACAAGAAGCTGAAGACGAAGTTTCCAGCATCGGATGAAGATCAAGCGGGGGGAACGAAAGACTAAAAAAATATGAAGAGGAAGAAGATGGAAGGTGAGCAACGCGGGCATTGGAAAATGATGAAGTTGAAAATACTGGAAACCGTAGAAGAGAAGACCATGGAACAATCGAGGATGAAGGAGACGTGGGGAGGAAGGCAATGATTGAGTGAGTGAGTGAGTTGGGTTTAACGCCGCTTTTAACAGTATTCCAGTTATATCACGACGTGTCAACTTAATGTGGGAGGAAAGCCCGAATTGATGCAGGTCTCAGACGTTTACCACTTCGGTGAAACCCACGAGCACGGGTATGGTGCTGACAAACCTAGAAACGTTATCGGGGCGAACCGGGATTCGAACCCACAATCATAGGTTTCTGGCGTACCCAAGGGACGCAACTCTGCACAGCGAATCGCGGCGACTTAGACGACGGGGCCACCCTTGCCCCCAAGACGGCAATGCACGGAAGAGGATTCCAAAGAACTTGAAAAGCAAGAGAAGACGAGAAAGAACCAAGAATGTGATGAACATGAGGAAAACGGCATAACGAGGAGCTGATGGAGAAACAAAAAAGTAAGTGACTGGATGCTGTTTTATGCCTCAGTCAACACTCTTTTCCATTTCAGTCGACGCCTATGACAATCGTAGTGTTCAATTCAACTGAGGTCAAACTGAAGCCTGAACAACGCATGATTATTAGTGATATTAACTAACGAATGAAACTCTAGATACGTCGAAGAACATTAAAATAAGAAAAAATGTTTTTGTTTTTACACCTGGCCAAGGGGAGGTGCTTCCCCATGTTTCAGTGTAACCTACAATAAGGGAAGATAACTCCGGTTGGACTAGCCCTTTTATTTTGTGCTTGCTACAAGGGGCACTGTCATTAAATAATTTGTTGTAGGTGCCATCGTGTTGATAACTGCCATGTTTGCCGTTGTGAAGGCTAAAGAATGTGTTTGAATTAGCACTATACTTACCCTCCCTTTCCCGGGGGATTACCTGTTAGTCGACCCGTGAGTGAGTGAGTGAGTGTGTGAGTGAGTTGGGTTTTACGCCGCTTTTAACAGTATTCCAGTTATATCACGGCGTGTCAGCTTAATGTGGGAGGAAAGCCCGAAGTGATGCAGGTCTCAGACGTTTACCACTTCGGTGAAACCCACGAGTACGGGTATGGTGCTGACAAACCTAGAAACATAATCGGGGTGCACCGGGATTCGAACCCACAATCATAGGTTTCTGGCGTGTCCAGGGGACGCAACTCTGCACAGCGAATCGCGGCGCCTTAGACGACTGGGCCACCCGTGCCCCCTAGTCGACCCGTGAAGATCCGGGGTAGAATAGGTCTTCAGCAACCATGCTTGCCGTAAAAGACGACTTTGTTTGTCGTAATAGGCGACTAACGGGATCGGGTGGTCAAGCTCGCTGACTTGGTTGATGCATGTCACCGTACCCCAATTGTGTAGCTCTATGTGCATGATATGAATTACTGGATTGTCTGATCCAGACTCGATTATTTCCAGACCGCCGTCATATGGCTGTGATATTGCTGAGTGCGGCGTTAAACAAACAAAAACACAAATCATGTCATTAATTAAACTTGACGTAGTCACTGCTCTTTTGTATTATGATTTTTAGTTGGTAACAATGGCTACAACTCTTAACCTGTAAGAACCTTTTATCAACAAGCGGGTGTTGGTTGCACCTACTTATAGAGTTATACACTCTCTGGTCGCCTTTCTGGACTTCCAGGTTGCATCCGGCGTTAAGACAGGCTGCGGCTGTGTCAATAGAGTTGTTCAAGTAGTGATGTACGGTGATGATGTTGAGGAGCTCGCCAGCGTCCGCTGCGATGTACCCGGTGAAGTTCCACTCCCCCCTCAGTATGTCCGTCAGCAGCTTCTTGTTGGCGCAGGCGGGGACACCATTGATGCTGGATAGAGGGTGGATACAAACTGATTTTGAAAAAAACCATGATATTAAGGCTCACCATCAAAAACCAGGTGAACAACATGGAATCAGTATGAGTTTGCTCTTCTGATTCTCTGTCCTCTGTGTCATGTATTGTATTGCAAGAAGGAAAACTCTCCAACGTTCAACCTCCCCTTTCTGTGGAGTAATTTTACAACTCCTTTCTTTGGTGTCTTCATTTCACGACATTTTAGGTACAACCGAACATTTCGGAATGTAACGCATCAATCACAATGCAGTTCTCTTGTTTGACCTGTACCATATGATCAACCTCCAATTTATGTCGAGTAATTTTCCTGCAGCTCATTCTTTGGTGTCTATATTTCACAACACTTGGGGTACAAGGGTTGTTGGTTGGTTGGTTTGTTGTTTAACGCCGCACTCAGCAATATTCCAGCTATATGACGGCGGTCTGTAAATAATCGAGTCTGGATCAGACAATCAAGTGATTAATATCATGAGCATCGATCCACGCAATTGGGATCGATGACATGCATCAACCAAGTCAGCGAGCCTGACCAACCGATCCCGTTAGTCACCTTTTACGACAAGCATAGTCACCTTTTGCGGCAAGCATATGTTGCTGAAGACCTATTCTACCCCAGAATCCTCACGGAAATTTAGGTACAAGGAGCGTTTCCAAATGTAACGCATCAATGATGATGCAATTCTCAAGTGTGACCCGTACCATGTTTCCGTGTTTGTCAGATGAGAAACTGATTATGACTTGCCTTTGCATGTGTTTGTGACAGGATACGCTCACTTTTTCGTGGACACATGGTATCATCAATATTTGATGGTGATTCATCAAGAAAAGCGATAAACCCTTTGCATATTCATACGAAATCTCCGCCAATAGCACAGTCGACTGTCCGATTCCGATTCATGCTCATGGAATAGTCGGACATACCATATATGGAACACTCATATATATGGACATGTCATTAGCATATAGTGTTCCTTTTATAACCCATAGTTCACCTGTTATACGTCCATAGCGTATCTGTTATTGGTCAATAGCGTATCTGTTATACGTCCATAGCGTATCTGGTATACGTCCATTGTGTATCTGTTATACGTCCATTGCGTATCTGTTATACGTCCATAGCGTATCTGTTATACGTCCATTGTGTATCTGTTATACGTCCATTGCGTATCTGTTATACGCCCTTAGCGTATGTGTTATACGTCAATTGCGTATCTGTTATACGCCCATAGCCTGTGTGTTATACGCCCATAGCCTGTTTGTTATACGTCCATTGCGTATCTGTTTTACGCGTAAAGCGTATCTGTTATACGTCAATAGCGTGTGTGTTATACGTCCATAGCGTATGTGTTATACGTCCATAGCGTATCTGTTATACGTCCATAGCGTATCTGTTACACGTCCATAGCGTATCTGGTATACGTCCATAGAGCATTCGTTATACGTCCATAGCGTATCCGTTATCCGTCGAATTTATTCTACCGACACAGGAACATATCCGACATGTTTCAATCTGCAATTGCTTTTACAATTATTGAAACATGTCTGGATATGCTCCCGTACATGCAAACATAAAATACAAATCGACATAATCGGGTGTATCACGTGAACCAATCTCAATCTTCTGACTTGGAGGTATGATGATACCAGTTATCAACCATACCTTACCTGCTATAAGTACTTACAAAGTTTACCTGTTATAAGTACTTACACAGTTTACCTGTTATAAGTACTTACACTGTTTACCTGTTATAAGTGAGTGAGTGAGTGAGTGTTGTTTTACGCCGCTTTTAGCAATATTCCAGCAATATCACGGAGCGGGACACCAGAAATGGGCTTTACATTACCTGTTATAAGCACATATCAAGCTGTAGGCGCCAGCTTCCACACATCGTCTGAAGGAAGGCAGGAAGTACGACCTCCAGTCTCGTTCTGAAACCTGAGAAACATGACACATGGAACTAAAATGATTAGGCACAAACCGCATCGTCTTATGTTGGCAGAAGAACTTAGATTTCTATATTTAGTTTACTGATAATCTGTAATTTCGTCTATGAAGAAATTTAAATCAATGACATATGGTCGGTTCGATTTCATATATATGTTGGTACATGTGTTTGTCAAACAGAAAAGAAAAATCATTAAAATAAAACAGCAACATGTTATTAAAGCAGATTTAACAATTTTCAAAAATCTAGCATACATGGAAAGCAATGTATGGATGTCATTTGTTAAATGTTCGAGTTTATTCAAATGATTGTGGTCTACCTTCGCATCAAAACACGTCCTGTCTAGATTGTCCTCTCTTTGCATCAAGCACCTGCTGGACACAGTGACCTACATTTGCATCAAGCACCTGCTGGCCATAGGGACATACATTTGCATCAAGCACCTGCTGGACACAGTGACCTACATTTGCATCAAGCACCTGCTGGACACAGTGACCTACCTTTGCATCAAGCACCTGCTGGACACAGTGACCTACCTTTGTATCAAGCACCTGCTGGACACAGTGACCTACCTTTGCATCAAGCACCTGCTGGACACACTGACCTACCTTTGGAACAAACACCTGCTTGACACAGTGACCTACCTTTGCATCAAAACACCTGTCTAGATTGACCTATCTTTGCATCAAGCAGCTGCTGGACTCAGTGGTCTACCTTTGCATCAAACACCCGCTTGACACAGTGACCTACCTTTGTATCAAGCACCTGCTGGACACAGTGACCTACCTTTACAACAAGCTACTGCTGGACACAGTGACCTACATTTGCATCAAGCACCTGCTGGACACAATGACCTACCTTTACAACAAGCTACTGCTGGACACAGTGACCTACCTTTGTATCAAGCACCTGCTGGACACAGTGACCTACCTTTGTATCAAGCACCTGCTGGACACAGTGACCTACATTTGCATCAAACACCTGCTGGACACAGTGACCTACCTTTACAACAAGCTACTGCTGGACACAGTGACCTACATTTGCATCAAGCACCTGCTTGACACAATGACCTACCTTTACAACAAGCTACTGCTGGACACAGTGACCTACCTTTGTATCAAGCACCTGCTGGACACAGTGACCTACCTTTGTATCAAGCACCTGCTGGACACGGTGACCTACATTTGCATCAAACACCTGCTTGACTCGGTGACCTAGATTTGCATCAAACACCTGCTGGACACAGTGACCTAACTTTGCATGAAGCACCTGCTTGACACAGTGACCTACCTTTGCATCAAACACCTGCTTGACACAGTGACCTACCTTTGCATCAAGCACCTGCTTGACACAGTGACCTACCTTTGCATCAAACACCTGTCTGGACACAGGCCAGTCCTCGGGTCCTCCAGACACATCAAAGTGTTTACAGCCAGAGCTTGTCCTCAGGTATCGAGGATGGGTACCATGGAGACCCTTCACGTGGTGGAACCCCATCTCCCCAGCATGGTAGGGGTCTTCGCTGAATGTTTCCTGAAAATATATATAGATGTGTAAGGAACCATGAGCCTGTTCTCATGCACATGTTTCTTAGTATTGTTCTAAGCGACCTGTGAAGCACATTACCCACTACTCGTACTCATCTCGATGTTGCTCATCAGGAAACCAGCAGGATCTCAGCCGAATTTGTTTTTCTCAAACTTTGACCAGTCCTCATCCGAAGTTGGACTGGTCGATATACAAGGGATTTAATATTGACGCATGCTTCTGTAGCAAATCGTCCTACATAATGGGGTAGGTGTACTTAATGCGAAGCAGTCAATAGTTTTCGTTTATTAACACATAATTGTTATGAAGTATAACTACTATTATTAAAGTCGAATTCATGTAGCTGGGAAATAGCTTTGTGCGGGATTAACATCAAACCCAAACCCTAGACTTGTCACACACATTATATTCCCACTTGACCTGACCCCTTCTTCAGCGAGGGTTTATGAAAGTGTCCACGTTAGGTCAAAGGTTCCACATCTCCCCCCTCCCCCTGGGTGTATCTGAAAGTGTCCCCATTTGTCCGTCACCTGACCTCATACCCAGCGAGGGCTTAGTCCCCAAACTGATTCACCTTAGGGCTAAAGATTTCTTGGGGGTCTCTGAACGTGTCCACGTTAGGACTGAGGATTCCTCACCTGGTCCCTCCCCCATCGGGGGTCTCTGAACGTGTCCAAGTTAGGGCTAAAGATTCCTCACCTGGCCCCTCCCCCATCGGGGGTCTCTGAACGTGTCCACGTTAGGACTAAAGATTCCTCACCTGGCCCCTCCCCATCGGGGGTCTCTGAACGTGTCCAAGTTAGGGCTAAAGATTCCTCACCTGGCCCCTCAACCCATCGGGGGTCTCTGAACGTGTCCACGTTAGGACTAAAGATTCCTCACCTGGCCCCTCCCCCATCGGGGGTCTCTGAACGTGTCCACGTTAGGGCTAAAGATTTCTCACCTGGCCCCTCCCCCATCGGGGGTCTCTGAACGTGTCAACGTTAGGGCTGAAGATTTCTCACCTGGCCCCTTCCCCATCGGGGGTCTCTAAACGTGTCAACGTTAGGGCTGGAGATTCCTCACCTGGCCCCTCCCCCGTCGGGGGTCTCTGAACGTGTCCACGTTAGGGCTAAAGATTCCTCACCTGGCCCCTCCCCCATCGGGGGTCTCTGAACGTGTCCACGTTAGTGCTGAAGATACCTCACCTGGCCCCTCCCCCATCGGGGGTCTCTGAACGTGTCCACGTTAGTGCTGAATATTCCTCACCTGGCCCCTCCCCCATCGGGGGTCTCTGAACGTGTCAACTTTAGGGCTGGAGATTCCTCACCTGGCCCCTCCCCCATCGGGGGTATCTGAACGTGTCCACGTTAGTGCTAAAGATTTCTCACCTGGCCCCTCCCCCATCGGGGGTATCTGAACGTGTCCACGTTAGGGCTAAAGATTTCTCACCTGGCCCCTCCCCCATCGGGGGTCTCTGAACGTGTCAATGTTAGGGCTGAAGATTCCTCACCTGGCCCCTCCCCCATCGGGGGTCTCTGAACGTGTCAACGTTAGGACTAAAGATTCCTCACCTGGCCCCTCCCCCATCGGGGGTCTCTGAACGTGTCCACGTTAGTGCTGAATATTCCTCACCTGGCCCCTCCCCCATCGGGGGTCTCTGAACGTGTCAACTTTAGGACTAAAGATTCCTCACCTGGCCCCTCCCCCATCGGGGGTCTCTGAACGTGTCCACGTTAGTGCTGAATATTCCTCACCTGGCCCCTCCCCCATCGGGGGTCTCTGAACGTGTCCACGTTAGGACTAAAGATTCCTCACCTGGCCCCTCCCCCATCGGGGGTCGCTGAACGTGTCCACGTTAGTGCTGAATATTCCTCACCTGTCCCCTTCCCCATCGGGGGTATCTGAACGTGTCCACGTTAGGGCAAAAGATTCCTTTCCTGGCCCCTCCCCAATCGGGGGTCTCTGAACGTGTCCAAGTTAGGGCTAAAGATTCCTCACCTGGCCCCTCCCCCATCGGGGGTCTCTGAACGTGTCCACTTTAGGACTAAAGATTCCTCACCTGGCCCCTCCCCCATCGGGGGTCTCTGAACGTGTCCACGTTAGGGCTGAAGCAGCTGATAGCCATATGAACATCTAGAGTAGCCCCCGTCTTCATGAAATAATTGTAGTAGGCACGGACTTCTGTGCTGCTCGCCTCGGCTATTCGGTAAATCAAATCCTTGCTGCGCAATGATACACAAAAACAGAGATTCATTAAATCTTGATGAATTTCAAATGGATGACTTGCGAGATTGATGGTATTTATTGATGGAGTAATATAAATCTACAGAAATCCCTGAAAAGACGTATTTGCATCGCCTCAGGCCAAAAGGGCATATTGCAATTAAGGGGACAGGGAATAGGGATCTGCTAAAGAGTTCGTATCTAACGGTTCATTGCATGTGTGGCGGGTGGCCCAGTTTTCTAAGGCGCAGCGATTCGCTGTGCAGAGTTGCGTCCCTTGGGCACGCCAGAAACCTATGATTGTGGGTTCGAATCCCGGTTCTCCCCGATTATGTTTCTAGGTTTGTCAGCACCATACCCGTGCTCGTGGGTCTTACCGAAGTAATAAACGTCTGAGACCTGCATCACTTCGGGCTTTCCTCCCGCATAAAGCTGACACGCCATGATATAACTGGAATACTGTTAAAAGCGACGTTAAACCCATCTCACTCACTCACTCACTCACTGCATGCGATCACCAGTACTGTGTATCACCCAAAGCCCATTTGTGCGTTTGTGTCGTATCCAACTGATCAAACGGAATTCCTGACTTTGTAAATCTTAAGCATAACAAACGAACGAAATATAGTTTTATACTAACTTTAGGAAATTGGAGTTCATTAAATGAAATTCATATGGCTACATCATCACCAAAAGTTTGTACCGATTAAGTAACAATGCTCAATGTCGTATTCTGTCAGCGTGTGGTACTCACTCGAACGACGCCCCTATTCCGATGCCCTGGGGAAAAGCAGTAGCGTTCTGGGCCACATCCCCCCTCCCACAGTTTGACCACCAGGAGTACTGATTAATCCCGAGTCTGGATATAGGTGGAGCATTGCCCTGACCACTGGCCAGCTGGGTCTGAATCTCCTGGATGGTCAGTCTCCCCACCACGTCCTCCACACGCACCTGCCAGGGGAGGGAGGCGTTACGGAAGGGGATGTCTGCAGCGGAGTACGTGACTAAAGTTAGCAGGACAAAACACCACAAGTGTCTCATGGCGGGATGTACAACGTGGGGTGAGCAAGGTCCGACTGAGAATGAACAACTGGCTGGAATGATCACCACACACGGGAACTAACATGTGAGTTCATTCTTTAGAGCTTTTGACCTAAAATTAGGTTATCTGAGTTATTTGAACCTATGTGCGTCTATAAGTATGATAGGAGCATTAAGACAGAAATTGTATTTTAAGGTCAAGGTCCTTTCGTTAGCACGTAACGGTCGCTCTTGTAGATAAGTGTGTATGAATGTCAGACACATTGATCCGGCATTGAGAAGGGTAGGAATGTATTAACAGATTCGGTTTAGGAAGTCCATGAAACCCGTTCTTGCACGATACGTTGGCGACCAGAATGGGCGTAAACCTCCGATCAATAACGCTGTAAATGGTTCACTGGGTCCTGGCTCCTCTGATGTGAAAGCGTGTCACTGATTTATGCTAATACCTCGAATAATAGATTAGGACCTAACGCATGCAATCGTGTAACGTCATATGACGTTATGATGTTATGAAGGGGAAGCATTTGTTGGAACTGTTAGTATAGTTTCGACATTAGTGTACATTGTAATTCCATGGCTGAAACATTAATGCAAAATTGCAACACGCTATGTGACAATCAGCTCAATCGGTCACCATGAACACCCTGCTCATTCAGTCACTTTGAAGAACCAGCTCATGCCATCGAACAAGCCACACAAATTGCAACACGCTATGTGACAATCAGCTCAATCGGTCACCATGAACAACCTGCTCATTCAGTCACTTTGAATAACCAGCTCATACCATCGAACAAGCCACACAAATTGCAACACGCTATGTGACAATCAGCTCAATCGGTTACCATGAACAACCCGCTCATTCAGTCACTTTGAAGAACCAGCTCATGCCATCGAACAAGCCACACACATTGCAACACGCTATGTGACAATCAGCTCAATCCGTCACAATGAACAACCCGCTCATTAAGTCACTTTGAAGAACCAGCTCATGCCATCGAACAAGCCACACAAATTGCAAACAAAACAAAGACAAAGTCTATATTCATCCATAGTCTTTCTTCATCACACCAACTTCTAAATGCCACTGAAAGAAGAAAGACACAGTCCCCAGCTTTATGGGAACTTGTCTTTGTTTGTAATTTGTGTGGCTATTTCTATTTAAAGAGTGTACATATTCCATAGTTTGTAACTATCTGCTGGTTTGGTAGGCCTGGTGTTCAGTCCTGGGTCTCGATGGCAGACAAGAACGTTCTGTGGTGGATGCCAACAGATGAGCCAGGAAGGTGACCAGAGAGTGACGTTGGCTAATCTAACGTTGACAATCCCACAGAGGTTACCTTATGTCTCTCGACAAGTCAGTGTCATATGTTATATATGACTTCAAAGCTGTTTAAAAAGATAAGATATTGGAAATGTACAACTCCAGACAGGTATTCCTTTGTGTGTCTGGCATTGTCCATGATTACATTTGTTCGTGTCATCATGCGCAGCAGACAACGTCATCGGCGATGTCATGACATGATATATACACAATCTCTCTTAACTCGACACTCCAAATGAGATTAACCTTCACATGAATGTGGCATGTCCAAAGAAACAAACGCGTACTGACTGAGCTCTTCGGTGTTGGCGATAATGTAGTGACTCAATACTGCATTTTTTTCCATGATGCCTAAATGCTCGTTGTGGTTACAATCTGCTTTCATTATTGTTTGGGAGTTCCACAATTAACAACTGTGTTAAATAATGTTAAATTGATTGAAAATCTGCTGCAAAGGGGAGACTGTTGGTTGGTTGGTTTGTTGTTTAACGCCGCACTCAGCAATATTCCAGCTATATGGCGGCGGTCTGTAAATAATCGAGTCTGGACCAGACAATCCAGTGATTGATATCATGCGCATCGATCCACGCAATTGGGATCGATGACATGCATCAACCAAGACAACGAGCCTGACCACCCGATCCCGTTAGTCGCCTTTCACGACAAGCATAGTCACCTTTTACGGCAAGCATGGGTTGCTGAAGACATATTCTACCCCGGAATCTTCACGGGTCGGGAGACTGTTGGGGAGACTGTTGGAGGCATTGGAGATATAGGTAGTGCTGAAGTAGTATATAAATGTTGTCTATGAAAGCTAGTCGAAGGTCAATAATGTACGGGGCTACCGCTGATTAGACCAGTATGGCGGTTATATCAGGGAGTATATACAAAATAAAGTATATTTTGTGTAGTAGATAAATTACATTGTTTACTCGTATATAAATAAAAGCGAAAAGTCCCTTTTCATAATCTCCATTGTATGATTCCGACTATATAAAAAATATGTGCTTTTGAATAACAAACAATTAGTGATCACACCATGTCTTCGATAAAATGTGAGCGCATCCTGCCCCACTGGTGGCACCCGTCACACAAGAGTTCACCTCAACAAACATTGCAACATACTTGCATTGCATCTAACATCGTTTTTGTCAATAATAATAATACCTGATGCAGTTGCCACTGATGAACCATTCGTGGGCTCACAAAATTAAATCCCTGATGTTGGCCTCGAAGATTTTGAGTTTCCCCCCTCTCGTACCAACTCATATCGATGATCGTTATGATGATCCCTTGAATATTTTGTTAATGCCATTTTATAATCACATCTGTGATTTTCCGATTGAGAAACAGAACAATTTAACCAATCATTTTCACAGAATCAACAAGATAAATTAAATGACATTATTACTGTTACTCCCAATACGGCTTGTTCTTTGCATAACATTAACTGTTGCGTGTATGACTCTGCTCGAATACTGGATGAACTCCATACAGTTGCCAAAGACAATGAACCACAAAAGGGTAATAAACAAAATCATCAAATAAAACTAAATGAAAACAGGAATAGATATATCCTGGATAAGACTTCGCTTAAAATTACATTCCTCAGGGTAATCAATGTCAAAACGTTAAAACTCAATTTGAAAAAAACCCCTGAAAACAAAGTATAAGACAACAAAAGAGAAAATTTTAAATTCAATTCTTGATTCTCTGAGGGCACAGTTAAAACAAAGTTGAAACAAAATAAACCGTTCACATCTAATGAAAAGCAGTTTTACAGGCAATTAAATACAACCAATGTCAGTGATGAGAAAAGACCCACCATTGATTCCAGTGAACAGCTGTGGTCGATAACCAGCAACTGTAACCTCGAAGAACCATGGGTTGAAGATAACAATGATAGTGTACACGAAAAAATAACGTCACCACTGTTGTGTTTCATTACGATTGATTGCCTGAGAAAGGTTATCAAAAAGTCCAAACCTAATACACTCCAGGGCCTGATGGGATTCGAAACCGGTTTTGGAAACTGTTTCCATGTGTCAAAACATCATTTCTTCACTGTTTGAATTCGCTTGTGGATACAGGGGATATTCTGCCTCGGTTGTGCAAAGGTCGAACGATACTTCTCCTTCTGACCCAAAACACTTCAGCACTCTTACTTGTCTGACTACACAATACAAACTATTAACAGGGTGTCTCACAGTTCTCGTGTCATCATACTGCACTTCCAATGACATTATTTACATGAAGCGGGAAGCAGCAAGAAAATGTTAGTTCTAAAAATGATCCTTGAAAAGGCTAAAACTTACCATCGCAACCTCATAAAGATTTGGGTGAACTACAGAAAAGCTTATGATTCTCTACCTCATGAATGGAATTTGAACTCTCTGGAATGTACTGACCTCCCCGAGCGAATACTTGTTTTACTCGTCTTTAATGAATTGTTGGTCAACTCAAATGGAGATGTATTTGCAGGGGTCGGAACCAATTACTATTAGGAATATTTCAGAGCGATTCAATTAGTCATTTAGTTTTTCTGTGCGTCACTAAATCCTTTAAGCTTTCTACTTACCAAAGAGGAAGGTTATCATCCTGGAGCTCTGTATCACAGATCCCAAACACCCCTTACTCACCTCCTTTACATGGATGACCTTGAGGTTATTGCCAATGGAACATTCACACTAAAAGGACAGATGTTGCTTGTCGAGTCCTTTTCTTCTGATACTGGCATGTGCTTTGAACTCGACAAATGCAACATTCTTCCTCTGAAACGTTTCAAGGTAGAAGAGGGAGGATCAGTCAGTTTACTTGAGCGAGGAGTTATTGACTTCTCGTTGAAAGTCAGGCCTAAAAGTCCTTAAGCATGCAGGTTAGGGACAAACTCCAGAATACCCATCTAGAAAACCCTTCGGGCAGCGTACAAATGTAGAAAATTTAGAGTTCAGAGCAGAAAGCTCGCAATAAAGTCAAAGCCACACATACTTATGCTGTACGTGTTCTTTGATATTCTTTTGCTGTTGTTGATTGGAAAAACAAGAAATTCACGGAATCGACACCCTCACACAAAGAATCATGTCCGACAATAGATTCAACCACCCTCGCTCTTCCCTTTATCGCTTATATTTACAAATCACAATACGAGGGTGTGGTTTCATTAACTTGGAGGCTGTTCATGATAGAAGTTGTTTTTTGCTCACATTTGTTATTCTGATGATCCCCTTGTGAAGCATGTCAAAACTAGTGATGAAAACAAGGCATTCCACAGTTTTCTTAAACGAGCCAAGGATGTGGGACATAATCTCAATGTCGTTGGTGTTGACGTTGTTGATGGTTTCTGTATTCTGATGAATGGTACAAAAATGAGTGTTAACCAAGCGAAGTGCCATATCAAGTCGGCCCAGACGGTTGAGAAGTTCAGCAATCCTGCAGAGTCCTTCTCTTGGATGAAGTCGTCTGGCCTAAAAAGTGAAACAGAAGGTTTTCTGTTTGCTTTTCAGAACCAGTCACTTCCCACTAGAAACCTTCAATGTGTGATCTTGCATCAAAATGTAAATATGAAATGTAGATTATGCTTTTTTGTTTGTTGTTTGTTTAACGCTGTACTCAGCAATATTCCAGCTGTATGACAGCGGTGTAGATTATGTAAAGAATTTAACGAGACTGTCCAATACATTGTCAGTGGATGCACAGCTTTGACACAAACACAGTATCTTAAACAACATGTGGTATTGCTCGATCATTTTATTACCGTTTTCA